GCCGCGTGCGCGCGCGGCCGCATCAGCTGAGCGCGCGGCGCGCGTCACGTGGTCGCGTGTCGAAGGTCACGGCGCGCTCACAATGGAGCTCTCGGAGTATGTGCAGAAAGGCTTCCAGATGCTGGCGGATCCCAGCTCCTTCGACTCCGACGCCTTCACGCTTCTCCTCCGGGCGGCTTTCCAGAGCCTGCTGGACGCCCAGGCGGATGAAGCCGTGTTAGGTAAGCCGCTCGGCGCTGAGCTGGACCGACCTGGGTGGAGGGGCTCTGGAAAAGCGCGGCCAGACTGAGCGAGAGGGGAAAGCCCGGGGAAAAGGAAGTCTCCCGACTGAGCCCTTGCTCAGGACGGAGTCTGGGATGTAGCTCTGCCAGAATCCAGAGCGGACCCTGGGCATTGTTCTGCCCCCATTTGGCACCTGCACGTTGCCAGCTCGGTGTTCCTGGCAGATACCCCTTCCAGCTTCTTTGTTCTTTTGCAAAGCCCGTGTTCAAGTCCTGTCTGTGGCCTAAACTTCTAAGGTTTTCAATCTGGTCTGAAGCAAAGACTGTTTGACACTTGGACTTCATCAGGGGAGCTCTCTGCAATCCCAGCTTTCAGTACTAGGCTGGCTAGCGTTTTAAAGGATCTGTTTCCGAAGCATTGCTAGGTCAAATACTGTTGACATTTTGTAACTTAGAGAATACCTCGAGTTCCTGTGATCATTCCAAAACTCTAGGACAGTGTCTTGCAGAGCCTCCCAAGCCTACAACCTAAAGTGTGGTGCATAATGTTGACTCCGCACCAGTCACCAGGAAGCGAGTCCTCTTTAAGTGGTGAGGTTAGTGATTGCGGAGTGCGGTGTCAGCATGGATTGAAAGCATACTTTAAGATAGATCGCTTTAGATAATTTTCTTAAATGTAAATATCCCGACAATTCAAATTTTGTTGTTTGTAGTTTCATGAAGTAAACATCTGTATAAAAAGTATGAAAGTGGAAGTTCTTTAAACAAAAATAGTAACCACCACCTGGGTTAATCTCAGAAAAAGAATAGCTGTCAAAACCTTAAAATATTTTGAAAATTGTAGTTTATATAATGAACTCGTGTACGTCCCTCACTCCTTCTCGCTTTAATTTATTCATGTCCATGGAGCCAGTTGTCCTAAAACTAATTCCTCTTTAAGGAAAAAAGTTTATTCCTAAATTACACATTGCAGCCTATTTACCTTATTTTACTTTGAGTTTCCTAATCATCCAGTATGAGAATGACCACTGTAGGTTTTTTTTTTGAATTATTATTGCTTATAAAAATAATGAAAGTATAAAGCAAAATACATGAAGGTACTTGAGAACAGGTAACAGAATTATTGATTGTGCTTCTTGTTTTGCCTTTGACCTGGTTGCTCATTTCATTTACTTATAATTGCTCATATACATGAATTCTTTTTGTTACCTTGTTAAGAGGTTTTTATACACAAATTAAGTATCTTTTTAAAAGAAACATCACTATAAAGAATTTATTATCACAGATATCACTGGCAATTAATTTATTTTAGATCACCCAGAACTGAAACATATCGATCCCCTGGTTTTAAAACATTGTCATGCAGCAGCTGCAACTTACATACTGGAAGCAGGAAAGCAAAGAGCTGACAAATCAACTTTGAGGTACAGGAATTATTTAAATATTTATTTTCAAACCTTTATGATTCTA